TTGAAACAATTCATTTTGATTTGCAGATTAAGATATATGGCCAACATGGCCAACATGGTGAGCACATGTCAATTTTCATCTCAACTACAAATGTTTGTCTTCACTGTGGAATATGTGCATTCTACGATCATTATTTAGCTTATGACAAAATCATATGAGATTTGAAACTTGATAGATGACATCGGCTTCATCCCACTTCAACATCCGTGAGGAGCTAGTGAAACTCCTCATTAGTGCAATGAGGAACTCTTGAGTTAGGACATGGGCGAGGTGTGCCTTAAGTATTGCGTATGTTTATCCTCCGTTCAGACGATGGCTAGGATTGCCTTTACGATGGTAGAGTATCTTAGTTTTGCGTCCCTGAGGTCTTGGACAGGACCTGGGATGAACATCCAATTGATGCTCGAGGTGCTCAACCCGAGGTAAAGGTGGAGTGTCTTCCCGATGTCAAGCTTGGAGAGGACATTGGATGAGGTGAGGTACCTCTTGAGTTTCTCAAAAGCTTGCCGACTATCAGAGAGTCCATTGAAAACCTGCATATCTTCCCCATGTTTTGTAACAATGGGATCGGCCTCTCGACTCACTTAGAGAGGAAACCATTGGTGGCGGCTAAGCAACCCATCAAAAGATGCACATCCTTGACGTTTGGATGAAACACCATGTCAATTGATTTTCTCTGGGTTTTCCTCGATGCCTCCACAACTCATTTTGTAGATGAGGAATTTGGAGGCATAGAGGCCAAAGGTGCATTTCTTAGGATGTAATTCATGGAAATATGATTTTCCATCAGAGGTACATAAAAAAAATAGAACTCTATGAAAGTCTCTATATCTACCGTGGAAATGTCATGTATGATAGTGATAAAAACTCAATAATAAAGTATACATATTTGAACCCGTGCTTTGCGATTATTGGACTTTAGACAACAACCAACATAAATCAAATAGATAGCCTCGTACGTTATTATATGCCTTAAAGCATTGATTAACCCCATATATTTAACCTTTTATATATCATTAATTAGTCTTTTATATAACCGGGCCATCTAAGGTCATATTAGTGGGTCTGACCAACATTATAATAATAAAATAATATTAATAATAGTTATAATAATGGTAATGGTAATGGCAATGACAATGGTAATAGTAGTAGTAATAATAATAATAATAATAATAATAATAATAATAATAATAATAATAATAATAATAATATACTTTCATTTGAACTACACTTTAATTTCTCTATAAACACACACACACACAGAGGGAGAGAGAAAGTTTTTTTTCAAAACAATGCTAAATAAAAAATATTTACAAATCACGGTTAGGTTAAAACTATTATCTAAAATACTGCCGGACCAAACTGTGGTTAGAGAAAGTCCTCAAACCAATTGGGGCTCTCTTACAAATGGATCAGATGGGGGGTGTCTGCCTTACTCATTTGTAAGGAACTATGTCTTTCTTTTGGAACCGTAAGATCTTTTGCATTTAGATGATTGTGATTAATTTACTTTTAAATTTTAAACTCCATTATCTTTCCTCCACTTGACTTCTCAACTACCCACTTTATTTGTCTGTTCTGCCATATCCCTTCTTCACAAGACCACAATCTTCGTATCTCTTCTCCACAAGACCACAACTTTTCTTCAATTTTCTCATCATTCGAAAAAAAAAATATAAACTTTCATAGCTTAATTCCAGCTATCTCCATAAGGTGATTCATACCCATATTTAATTATTGCCGCCTCATCTCATAGTTTACAAGGTATGTATTTCTAAACCTTCAATTTGATGATTGCTACTGTGATTTATACTTCATATCTAATTCCTACCGTTTCTTGGAAAATTTTGCTTTACAAAATGAGGATGGGATTTCTATCCACATACTGGTTTGAAAAAAATTACTCATTTAGAAGGATTTTACGCTTTAGGAAAGAAACTACATTGAAGGATAAGTAGTTTCTTCCTCTCCAAATTTTATTTTCCTTTCATATTATTTACACCAATATATATATATAGATACACACCTACTTCTATATATAAGCATTGAAGTTAGGGAGTACTCTTTCATGTGATTTAATAGTAAATTTAAATACAGTTTAAAGCCAAGAAATTTTATCTATAAATAAGCATTTAAACTGGGGAGTAATTTTTCTCTCAGTTTTGATTCTTTTGTATCAATATAGTCTAGTTTGTTTGTGAAAAAACTGTAGGAATTGAGGGGCGTGTATCTCCTCTGCCTTACACAGTGATGTGCACTAATTAGTAGTGCATAAATTTATGTTTTTGTGTTTGATTTTTGTTGATTGTTTGACTTTATTTTGGGTTTGCAAACATTTGTGCGATTTTAGTTGTAATCGATTTTTAGCTTTCATTTGTAAGTTGTAAAGTAGTAGTAGAATTGTTGGTGTTGGAAAAGGAGTAAAAATTGAAGATTTTCTGCCCAGGAGCAAATACCCAGATAGGTAAGACCCTTTACCCGGCCGGGCAAGATGTGAAAATGGAAGCTGCTTGGAAATATAGTCATACCCGGTCGGGTATGCACCTACACCCGGTCGGGTATGATTTGACTCGAGCAAACAGACGTGCTGAAAACGCAACATTGTGGAAGATTATTCGTTTTTGACCGATATCCAGTCGGGTACCTGGCCCAAGGGGTTGAAAACACCTATAAATATCACATTTTTCCTTCGCTTTTATTCATTCCTTCTTCCATATACTTAAGCTCTACTTAGAATAATAATTTCTTTATATTTTTCTAGCATTGTTTACTCTCCCAAAGAGGAGCTAAATTTCCTTTTTTTGGTTTTGCTCTTGATGCTTGTTGAATGTTTAAGTTGTGAGTTATTTTCTTAACTTCTTCCATATGCTTGTTGAATATTAATTCTTCGCTTGATATTATTTCTATATTAATGTTGGGGTGTTGCTAAGTGATGATGAGTTAATGCTTCAACATTGATTATTACTAGAAACGATCAATGAACCATCGGTTAATCGTTGATGGTTTTACAAGTATGCAACTTCGTTTATTAATGCACGGTCGTGGTTAATAAACTTAAAATGGATTAATTGTGTTAGTTAAACCGAAACCGTTGTGTTGAGGTTATCAATCTCAATTTGGCTATTGAGTCGATAGACGATGATGTTCTATATTTGGCTAATAGTAAGAGTTGTTAATGAACAGTCGTTATTAATAACTACCATTGATCAATTGGAGATACTTCTCGATTGAGTATTCGAGAAGGGATAAGTTAAAGATATGACCAGGATCGACTAACATCTCAACAAGTGGAAAGTAGCAAAGAAAGTTTCTTTAATCTTATTATTTTAAAGCACCAAAGTCGTTCATCTTTGTGTTTATTTAATTAAATCAAACAATCAAAAATCCCCCATTTTAGTTACTAGTTTTATTAAAGAAAAATATTCTTTTCCCTGTGGATACAAACCTTACTTCACTATACTACATATAAGTGTTAAGTATTGAATTTATTTTGAAGCACATAAGACTTTAATGCCGTCACACAGCTTATGTGTGGTAGGATTAAAGATTGAAAACAAAGTATAGTTCACAGAGCGCAACTTGAATTGAAGATGATATTTTCACTTTAAAAAAGTCTTAAGATAGCCTATTTTGATGTTATTGGCAATTACAATCATATAACTAAACGTAGAGCTAGCAGCTAGTAGATGATAAAATCAAGTCATAATCATACAAAAATAATATAATACACAAAAGATCAATACTTCGAAATTAGTTCACTATTTTGAAATACACAGAGAGATAATATTACTAACTTGAACGTAAAGAGAATTTACTACTAGTTACAATACAAAGGTCAAATATTGCTAACATGTAAACCTTGTAATGATATCGAGTGACAATCAATTGGTGCCTGCAATAGTATAAACTTATTAGTACCAGTCTTAAAAAGTAAGATTGTAATGGAAACAAAGGCTAACCATTAGCAACTCAGTAAAACTAATTATAGCAGGATGTTTTGGTGATACAGTGTAGGATAATCCAACCTGTGATTTCTCTTACACACAAATACAAAAGTAAGATTAGCCTATTCAATCAGTTAAGAATAACAAATAAAATTGCTTACGTTAGCCGATGCGACTCCTTTTTTCTTCTTTGTGTTTCCTTCAATACAACTCTTATGACGTCTTGTGTTATTTGCACCAATTTTTTGCTTGAACACCGCTATTGTTGGGGTGCATTGAGGTGTGGAAATGGCACCAACACCAACATTAACACTTAAGCTTGAACAATTTCTTGTCACATGAAGGTCCATGAGTCGTCATTCTAAATCAGACATTACACCCAACATCATGGTTGTACCTTCCTCCAACTTGCTTGCCTCAACAGATATACGTATAGATGTGCGACTCATATCCCTAAATCGTTATGTAGCATGTATCTTAGGATCCTCCTCTATCTCCTTTCCTGTTGCAGCATATGTTGCATAATCTCTTGCTTTGTTCATCCACTTAGGCATGATGTACTTACTAGGGAGAAGCTTTACATTATTAATATTGTAGATCTTCAGGGCATGACAACATATAATTCAAACATATTCAAACTTCTTACAAGAACATGCTACAATGTGGTCACTAACATCAAATGATACATTATACACTTCCTCTTGATCAATCATAGACACAATATAATGCTTAAATATCTCACTACCGTCCACATTGTTGATAATAACTTGGTCTCTTTCATCATATTCATCTTAAAACAAATCTAAAACAGTTGGGGTGTACTGCTCAGAAAGTTGTTTGACCATGCTTGATTTTTTATTTCTTAGTCGTGGCACTTTGTCTTTTGAATGATATTTAGGTTTCACTTCTTTGTAACATTTTTCATCAACAACTTTCTCAAAAAAAAAAAAATTGAAGAACTTGATAAGACAAACACTTGGATTAAGTAGTTCTTTCAAATCAGAGTTAAAGCTCTCACTAAGTTGTGTGCTACGAATTCTAAGTATGAAAGCCATCTTTCAACATGTATGTGTTAATCATCCATTGATTTTCTTTGACATCATGATCTATGACCATTTTAATCCAAGTATCCTCAAACACATTCTCATGAGTTATTCCATACATACACCGTGATATCTTTGTCAAGATGTGGGACTTTCCCTTAGTCAATTGAGCTAAGTGCTTTGTGGCATTTTCCATAAGATGACGTGTACAGAGTTCATGAATGGTGTATGACATAACTTCAGATAACACATGTGCCATTGCGGCATCCTGATCAGTAAAGACAGTCACTGGTTTTTTGAACCCGATAGCTTGAAGAAATGATTGGAATGACCACTTGAATGAATCCGTGGTTTCATCAAATAACAAACTTGCTCCTAAAATCACAATTCCTCAATGGTGATTTAAACCAGAAAAGACTGCAAGTGGCTTGTTCTTTCTATTTGTACCGAAAGTTGTGTCAAGCTAAGGGACACTACCTCACCGAATAGTGCATAATCAATTATCATCCTCGCATTAGCCCAAAATACATTAGTCATTTGTTCTTCCACATCCAACTGATAAGCATGGAAGAATGAAGGTTCCTCTGTTCGCATGTTTCAGGAAATAATGCGTGAGTATACTAGTTTCACCATAAGCCATGTTTCTTTCTTTCCTTGATTTGAGGTATTTTTTGCATCATATCTTGAGTAAATCCAACATTCTCTCTTCCTACAGAATGTACACTCATCAAATCAAAAGAGCCCTTTTGCCTAAGGCCAGAGTCATCAGTTAGTTCAATATCATATGCTTGCACTTCTGAAATTTTTCTTTGCGATGGAATCATATGAATTGGCTTTGGATTGTGCAAGTATGATTATGTTTCTCTATTAACTCTTTCACTTCATATTTCTCTGAAATAAGTTTAAATATTATACGTTCTCTACAATCTGTTCTAGTCTCACTACAAATATTTTTTGTCTTCACGTCTTTCTTTTCAATTCGTCGAAATCCCCCATTTGAGCACACATAAATCATTGATGTAAACTTTGTTTTGTTTTTCTTGCTAAAGTTAATATTATTCTTTCGCACTCCAAATCCTATTTCCTACCATACACCCTCCAAAAAATCCACACTGCCTCTGTGGTATCAACTCTCATCCCCATCTTGGGATTCAAAAATTTCATTCATTTTCGTTGGGTGAAAAAAAAAACTATCAACAAGAAAATATTTAAAAAAATACATGGAAGAATAAATGATATATATATAGGTATACACACACATATTTATTAAATTATTTGCTTCGTTGAAACCTGGTTTCATTTAAATATTTTATATCATTTAATTAATAATTTTTCAACAAGTGATTTCAGAACTCCGAATAACAACTTGATTTACTCTGTATATTATATCTATACTAAAGTAGCGTACCTAAATACACACATTATGTTTCATGAAGTACAAAAGTGAATAAATAATGAAAAGGGAGAAGTTTGGTGCATACATAAACCTTCAGCACTGTCACGTGAATGGATCTCATTGGATTATCTAATAAATATATAAACTTAAAATTAATGAAATTTGGATGCCGCCGATTTACTAAATCTAATTAAGGGTCTGGAAAGAGAAAGATAGGGTGCCTTACAAATGAGTAAGGCAAACACCCATTATCCCTTAAAAATAGTGATGAATGCGTACACAATTAGCTGGGAGAAAAGAGGGGTGGTGGGGGCCTATGTAAAAGAAATTCTCTTTTTTCTTTAAATTGTTATAGCTTTCATATTCTTGCTCCAATTTTTTATAAAATATTTCAAATTTTATAACTTTTTGCGATGTTTCATATGACACCAATAATATACTATCGTATAAAGTTTAAAAAATCTAAAGACCATATGGGGTGGAAAAACTGATTGCAACTCTTCACCGTTGATAAACTTAATTCTCAAATGGTTTAATTTAAAGTGTCGTATTCACCGTGTGATATCAGCTTTTCTTTACTGACTCCATCAATATATTCACTCAACATAGTGTTTAGTTAAGTTCTTACACTTTTTATTTTTTTTAACCTACATCAACTATTAGCCAAAAGCAATGTTCTAAAAGGCGTTAGGCGGTAGTCGGGCACCAGCACAGCGCCTAGCACCTAGGCGGCTAAGCAGGCGCCTAGGCGGGGATGAATCGGAGACATAGAAATGACAGTTTTATTAATATTTTTTGCATAAATATGATTAATAATGTTGTGTGTGTATATATATATATATATATATAAAATATAGACACACACATACACACAATAACATGCATGAATGATAAGAGTTTTCACATTTAATAACATATTATACATACTTACTTCTTAACTTCAAGTAATACTACGTATTAATTATTAATAAATAATAATAACACTTAAGAATATATATATAAACATGTATAGTATTTATTTTAATCTACAACTAGTAGCTTTCTTCATATGCATTGTTAGAGTTAAAGATACATATATCTCTTAGAATACTAAAATAAAACGCAAAATAAATTTTTTGATGAATCTAGATGCCTAGGCGGCCGATTAAGCGCTCTAGGCGGGTAATTTGGCGCCTTAGGCGGCCGACTAATTCACCTAGGCGCCAAATCAATTAGTCAGAGCGCCTAAACTAAAATCGGGGCGCCCGACTACCACCTAGCACCTAGGCGGGGACTAGTCGGGCGCCTAAAGCGATTTTTAGGACCATGACCAAAAGTGTTTTACAAAAAACTGAAGATTTGATTGTCTAGAGTTTTTAAACTCAACTTTTTCATAAGCAGATCAGAGTGTTAAAATTAAACCACACCATTATTTTATAAATCTTTCAGTTATTTTTCAAGAAAAAACTTGAAATAATTAAAAATAAACTCCAAGTTGTTATTGCATTGAAGTGTTTAACTTCTTAAATAAAAAATAAAACAAGATTTTAGTTGTTTAATGTAAAAATTAAATCAAGAGTTTTTTTAGGTTGAAATATTTTACATTTTGATTTAAAAAGTTAAACATTTAAATGCAATAAAGACTCGGAGTTTAACTTTTTATTGTTTTAGGCCTTTTCTTAAAAAATAACTGAAAGATGTACTACATATAAAATAATGATGAGATCATAACTTTAATAGTTGGATCTACTTGTGAAAAATTTGAGCTAAAAAAACTCTAGGCAATCGAATCTTCCAGTTATTTGTAAAAAAAATTGGCTAAAAATTGATGTAGATTAAAAAATAAAGCGTAAGAACTTAACTAAAAACTATGTTGGCTGAATATATTGACGGTGTTAGTAAGAAAAAACTGAATTGATGAGGTGAATACCAAATTTTCAATTAAATTGGTTGAGAATTAAGTTTATTGACGCTGGATAGTTGCAATTAGTTTTTAACCTCATATGGTTTTCAGAATTTTTTGAAAATTTTATATTCCATATTGGTGTCATATGAAAGATCACAAAAAGTTATAAAATTAGATATATTTAAAAAAATTGGAGCAAAAATATGAAGGATATAGCAATGTAAAGAAAAAAGAAAATTTCTTTTACATATGCCCCACCACTCCTCTTTTCTCCCAGCTAGCTTTGTACACATTCTTCCATATTCTTAAGAGAGTCACCAGTTGGTTTGGCGGCTTTCTCTAACCATAATTTGGTAAATAATTTTAACTTAATCCTAATTTCGTAAAAAAAAAAAATTAATTAGCATTATTTTGGGGGAAAACCCCATAGAAAGAGTAACAATGTTCTATGAACCATTATCTTGTTTGGCAAGTTAATTGGTCCCGCAGATAAATTATAATAACACAATTTGAAGTTTTTAGAACACATCTCTTGTTTCATACTCATTTTGGGATATCCGAAAAAAAAAAGAAATATAGTACCATTACATTGGGATGAAGGGAATACTATGTACTACGTAATGTTAGTTACAAGATAAATCTTCATGACAGGCCACTTGATAGGAATTGCCACATGGCCGCCTCCACTTGAGGTGCTTCCGGTAGAATTTTTCGGTGAAATTTTGTAAGCATGTTTTTCATGAAGTCTAGATTATTTACATCGAATTTCATCTTCAAACTCAAGTACTCAACCGTTAATTTAGTTAAATAAATTATGGAAAACCCCAGCAGGCACTTTTTTATATATTTTGGCGCAATGTCATTCAATAATTTATTTAACTGACTTTCCAAAGCAATTTTAAGCTAAAGTTTGATGAGCATAAACTACACTTCATGAAGAACACACTCACAAATTTTATAAAAAAAACCATCCAAAAAGCACCTCAAATGGAGGTGGGACGGCGGGTCCGACCAGGCCGTCCTAACAAGAACGCCTCTCTAGTCACAAAGTGCTCTCTCCATCTTGAAACTATGTTTCATGTTTGACTTCACGACTTTTTAGAAAGAATAGGAAATAAAGTTTATTTTCCAAATAAAAATGCCCTTGGGTTGTTAAAAGATGTAGTACCCAAATGGGTATAATAAAGAGGGCAAATGAATATAATTGTAAAATGAGGTAACACGTGCACATCAATTCAATGAAGTATTTGAAGATACAAGAGTAAATGAGTAATAAAAACTTACCAAATATATAAAGAAGTTGAAGTAGAAACTTTATTTTGGGACTCCCAGAAAAAAGGTGGAACTTAATTTCGGGACAAATGGAGTATTACATAATAAACATATCATATTATACACTACTTTTAAAATGATTACAAATCAACTTACAAATTCCAATATTACCTTTCTTTCCAATATATAGTGTTTTATTTTTTCATACAATTTTGATGTGTGACATTTATTTTTACACGTCCCTTCAATCCAAATCATCATGCTGAACAACATTAAGATGTACTTGTACTCCCTCCGTCCCTTAATACTTTGCCAACTTTCCATTTTTGGATGTCCCACTAACTTTGCCACTTTCTCTTTTAAGTAAAAAATTTGTGGTTTCTGTTAATTCTCTCTCCTCTGCACAAACCTCTACCACACAGTTTTTACTTTATTAATCCCCGTGCCGGTCAAACTTGGCAAAGTTTTAAGGGACGGAGGTAGTATAAGGGAGTGTTTACAATTGCTTTTCTTTAAAAATCACTTTTTAAAATGATTTTCAAAAAAAATGTTTAATTGTAAAAGTTGGTAGTTTTTGAGAAAGAATTGATTTTGAAAAGTTAAAACGAGTAGTGTTTGATAAGATAAGTGCTTTTTGCGTAATAGAAAAAGTAAAAAAACAAATTCTAGCTTTTAGTTTTTTTTGGCGAAAAAGGAAATGAGAGGATCTAATGTTTTTTTTTTAAATCAAATAACAAGAAACATAACAACTAAAAGCCGAAGCATTACAATCATAACAACTAAAAGTGAAGCATAACAATCATAACATTCAATACTACACTAGGGTGATACAAAGAACAAAAACGCCATATAAAAGCACTCATGTTCACTAACCTTGCAACAATGTAGACTCATACCGCAATGTGTCTGCTCGTGGTACTCGAAATGGGTTCTGCTTGACCAGCCACCGAAAAGGAATTATTGAACTTGCCGGTTTTTCCAGCCACCGGTAAGGAGCCAAGTGCAGAAATTGTTCCGGTTTGACCAGCCACCGGAAAGAAAGCAATCCATCCAATGTCTTCTTCCTGGATCGCCGGTGGTTCAGGAGGGGGGCGATCGCCCTCTATATCGATGCAGAAGAAATCCTGGTACATGATTGATAAAGAAGCCAATACAAACCTCTTACTAGCACACAAGAACACCCGACCGGTGATGGCAGAGAATATAGATCTGGCGAGCGACACTTCACCACCGAAAATAATATCTCTAGACAACGCTAGGAAATAAACGTATAGGTAGAACTTAAAATACTGATTAAACGAAACTTTTTCCATGATTGAAGTCAAAAGAAGAGAAGAAAAGAAGGAAGGAAGAGGAGGCGGCGGCTAGGGTTTTCCTTTGCCGCTCCTCTCTCCCCTTGCGTACCGATTACCCTGTTAGGTTTTAAGTATTTAATTTTAGCAGAAATTGTCACTTGAAAACACCCTTTCAGCTTTTTTAAAGCTAAAAGGTCAAAATCGCTTATTTTTAATTTTTTGCAAACATACCTTAAATTGTCCAAATAAACAGTTAACACGTTATACTTAATCATTAGTGTTAAATAAGTACTCAAATCACAATGAGACTTGACTCTTTCTAAGGTTGTCCGCAATGGTAGGGGTGAAAATCCCCACATATGAGGTTTTCACCCCAAATGAGCTGCAACCCAACCAATTTTTTGTATTGGAAAGTCTTATAGTGGATTGGGAGCATGGACGGAGTCGGAAAGTGCTACCTTCATTCACCCAGGAGAGAGACAACTTATGCATGGTTGGCATGCGGAAGAAGATAATTGATGATAGGACCCACTTGAAATAAAACCCCAAATATATTTTAAAGTGTTACGGACTAAAAATTTTCATTTATATTTCAACTTTTATAAAAAATAATATAAAAATTCGTGATTTTTATGCTCTTTCATATGAATGTATATATAAAATTAAAAAAATATATATAGAGTTTTATGATATGTATATTTTTAGGTTCAATTTTTTCAGAAGTAAATCTAAGTGCTAAAATTATAATCTCATGGTTAAAATATTTTATCTACATCTCTGAGTTACTTTTTTTAAAGATAGATCTGAAGTAACAAAAAAAAAATTAAACTCCGACTTCATTTATTGATATAAAAACAACTATCACATAAATGATGTGTAATAAAAAAGTAAGGATTTATGAATTTAATTACAAAAAAATATGTGATGAGTGAATATATTGACAATGCTGAGTTGCAGAAAAAATTTGAATTAATTGAATGAATACGTATAAACTGGAGGCAGGGCCGGCCCAAAGCATGTGCTGGCAGCCCAACCGCATAGGGCCCAGGATAAGTGAAGGCCCAAAAAAATAAAAATATTAGTAGTAGAACTATTAGAGCCTAATGAAAAATATCAACCGAACTCCTGTCATTATTCTCGGTCCCGTATTCTCGTAGCACCGTTGCACCAATTCCTCGGCCCATTTAAATTGTAAAGCATTAATGTACTCCGTAATTTGTAAAGTTAAATACTCTGTAATTAATACTATCGTACATAGTACTGATAGTAGTTATTCCCAAGCCACGGCTGGCCTAGAGCTTACACAAGGACACAACTCACACAAGTCCACAAGACCACAACCCGTAAGTCTATTAAAATTGAAATAATCAAGTACTCCATATTTAGTACTTTTAGAATTCTTAATTTTTCAATTTAAATTTTCAATATACGTAGTATATTATTAGGTCCGGCCTAGAGCTTATACGTATATTATGAGGTCATAAGGCTGTCAATTTTTTAGTTTTTGCACTATAATAGATTACTAAAATATGCTCTAAAGAAGTTTCTTTTAAATGAAATGTATTTTGTTAACGGATGCTTGTACATGTTGAATATTTTATTCAATAATAACTCATACTTGATATAAATCAGGATGTTTCTACTTGAACTTATTTCAGTCTCAAACTAGATCATGCCAGACAAGATTATATCGGACATGTAAGTTACGTTATAAAATACACAGAGACCGGACATCTTCCCGATCAGATCAGAATAAACGCACCAAACCAAATCAGACGATAGTAAAAAAAAATCAATCTAAACAGAATTATTTTTAATAGTAAATTATTACTAGTATGATTAATGCTAATTTATACTCATATTATATGTGTGTTTATATTAGAAAAGAGCCCAATTTTTTTTATTGCACAGGACCTCCGTTTCCTCGGGACCGGCCCTGACTGGAGGGGTATTAGATTTATTAACGGGCTGGATTGCGGCTAGCCTAAAAGGTTAACTTGTACTACATAGTATGTAGTACGAAGTTTTACAAAATACGGAGTACTAGTATGTACTAATTACTAAGATTATGTTTGGCACACAAAAGACTTCCATGTTTTTTTCGTCTTTATTCGTAAATGAAGAAACGCATAGTGCGTGCGTAGCTGTTTTCGCCTTGTTGGATATAATATCGTTGAATGAAAATTGTGGATAACCCCTCATTTCTTGTTAGGAAAATTTGAAAATAATAATCCCAACAATTACTGGTCCGCTAACAATAATATCAACTATTGATTATTTTTGTATAATCCCAACTATATGGACTGTCCGCCAATAATTGGTCCATGACCGGATATTACCTGCTATAACAGGTGATTTTTAATAGAATTAAGCGTAAAAATAAAAAGTTGGAATTATTTATAGGGATTACCTGATACATCTCTTCTCATCCACTTTAGAAACTATACGAATTTATTTATAGTCGGTCACGTCAGACCATTATTGGCGGAAGATCCTCAAAGTTGGGATTATTCCGAAATAATCATAGTTGGGAACTTGGGATTATTATGAGCGGACCGCCAATAGTTGGGATTATTAGTATCAATTTTTCCTTCCTATTCTGGAGAACTTTTTTTGTGAAGTGTTCTATTCACTTTGACATATACATAATGGAAATTTCTTTTCTAAGATCTGGAGTGTATCATAAAACTGCAATGGCGTATCTGTACCTACTTAGATTTTCAATGTCCACATACTGACTATATATTCTACGAAGTATATTTTTCATGGTGAGAACTCCGGTACCCATTTAAAAAATGAGGTATCGTACCTATCATTCACTTGATTGGTCTAAATAGGTATATCATTTTTAATTTAGACTTCAATAATTCAACTGCAACATTCTGATTGGTCCATGTGGACAAAGGTATATATGGTACCTTATGGGTACCATAAAATCTACCATTTTTCATTAGAGGAGACCACATGTGGCAGACATAAAAATGTTCCACGTCTGTTAATCGAAACCAGTTCTCTAATTTGGGCCTTCGGGCTTGGTATTAAAACGATCTTATAGGTTACCAGTAAAAAATGATGTTTCAGGAATTTCATTGATTTTTATCCCCACCACAAGACTGTATAGTTTGAAATTGGTGAGATACTTAGCTTAAGAGTAGTTTTTATAGCATTGGAGTAGACTGAATTGAGCTGAGTGACTCTAATGAAATTGATGAAGTGCAAATAGACATAGTTGAATTGATTGAACTTGTTGACTTGTAAAATTATCATCAAAAATAACTAAAATGATTTTGTAAAGTAACTTCAACAAATTAAGTTAGAGAATTAACTCCAAACTTACTTATTACAATTTTTACACAATTGATCGCGTAAAATCAAAAGTTATGTGTTTGATAAAAATTGAATGATAATGGGTTATCGAATTAGCTCTTAAGTGGTGACTTATCATTTTCTTTAGCCGAGTTCTCTGATTTAAAAAAAATGGAGTCTTTTTTAATATAATCAGAGCGACTTTTATAATAATATAAAGAAGCGTACAAGACAACCTCCATACAGTTATTACAGATTTAATCGTAAACTCTAGTAATAGAAATAGAGTCGGTCACCACATACAAAGCAATCTGACTCACTAGACACGAAACGAGCAATTTTAAGCCTGAAACAACTGAAACCGAAACACTGCCTATCATCAAAAGTATTCCAAATATCCAGATATTTAAACAAAATCAACTCGAACACGAATAAAAACAAGTATTATTAAAGAGAAAAATAACATTGAAATAAAGCCTTTGCACAAAACTTTTTCTGGCAGGGATGTGGTCCAGGAGGAGGAGGAGCTCCTGGAATATGGGTGAATACCGAATTCTTCTTCTTACTTCGTTCTGGATAGATGTGGAAACAGGCAGTGGCGGAGCCAGAAAAACGCCTTAGGGGGTCGAAAATCAACTATGTACAAAATGAAAATGGTAGATCGTTTTTAGACGTACAATATCCGAGTTGAATGTTTCATTTGTAGTTTAGATAAAAATAGGCACTCGTAGTAATAAGATGAATTGCCTTTGCTCTATTTTTGAATCATGTCACATAAGTAATGAGTTAATTATACGTTATTTTAAAAGTTTTTGGAAAATAATCAATATTACGCATTCTTCCAAAAAAAATCAATATTACGCATTAAATTTTGATGATTTTACGTTTGGATAGTGTTGATTTTTCAGAAGTCATAATTTTTCACTCATAATGAGTTACGTGGGCCATAATTTATCAAATCGAAAATATTTCACACTTTTATGCTCTCAAACTTTCAGGGCAGGTATCTAGGGATTCTAAATAAACTTCACAATCTTGATTCTATGAAATTATTATGTAACTTATAAGTCTGAAATATTACGGACTTCGCAACTGTGTATCTTAAGAATGATGCTTCGATTGATGGGACACATTGAGAAGAGATTTACTTGGAAAACTTTCAAAGGCCCATGATCATGAGAACAAATTCCAATTAACAACTTATAAAATGGCACGCGGATTAAGAAAGTGAGAATTGTGTGGTGGAGAGTTGTGCATAAGAAAGAGAAATGTTGTGAACAACAAATTCATTGCCAAAAAGGAAAAGTGAAATTCTTTTTGGGACGAACGAAAAGGGAAAGTTGGAAGTATTTTTTGGGATGAGGGAGTAATGTAAAATCAACTCATTCTGGCCATAAAGTTGTAAATATAATCAAATTAGAGATTTGGGCGGTCACCTACCAGTAATTATACTTTACAAAGGCTCCTCCACCCCTGTTCATACTCATTTTATGTTATTATATTTTCAATAATTAATATAAGATACAGTAACTCAATTTAATATTTTCATAAGAGAGTCGGCAATAATATTTTCAATAGGTTTTTTCAACAAAAAGAAAGTAGCTAGAGCATCCACTTCATATATGGTTAATTACAAGTTCTAATTAATACCAAGAAACTGAACCAAACCAGCAGGGGCGGAACCAGAAAATAGTGTGAGGGGTCGGAATTTATAAAATTATATGGAGCATATAGTATCAAAATGATAGATAGTTATTATACAATACTTGAGTTAAATGTTTCATATGTAGCTGAGATAAATGACAATTTAATAAGCATTTTCGGTTAATGTATTGATAAATATATGTAATGTATCATAATGTTGACACAACTAATGACTGAATAAGGTGTTTATTTTTAAATTTAAGGATATAATCAAAGTCACACATTAAATTTTTGCTTATTTCATGTTAAGATGATGCTGATTGTTTCAGAAAATATTAACTTTGCAAAACAAATTGTTTATTTTTAAATTAGACATTAACTACATACCGACGTACTCTTTTTTTTCTTGCTTTCCCTTAGCAGCGGGAAAGGAGTCTATATATCTATCAGGTGCCTAGCTTAGCTTTGCTTTCACCTGCACGCTTGTAGAGTTAAGGAACGAACGATGAGCATTTTTTTAAAACACCCTCTATATATATTGCAGGTACTGTACACAGATGATTTGTGTGGGTTTATGTAATTAAGTGCAGCAAATTAAATTATGAGTGCAGCATGGCAGATGGAGTTCAAAACACGTCCATGAGAAGCCAAGGCTGCGCTAATCAGGCAATTAATCATCTACTAACTGCTATTCCGTATTTCTCTATGGCAATGGGCTTGTTTATGAAATTATAGTATAGAAGCTTTAAACAGTATAAACTGTTACGTAGTACTACCTCCGTCCCCCTAAGTTTGGGACAAGAGAAGGTG